GCTATATTAATTAAAGTTTGCTTAATAGGGCTAAATTTGTAAGAGCTTTTTTGTACAAGGGCTGTATACAGTACAAAGACTGCAGTAGGCTAAGTTGTTGGCTATGTGACAGGAGGGTCTGGTCAGATATGGTAAAAGTAAAATTTCCAAGACAAGCCAATAGAATTTCAGAAAATTGCTAGTGAATTTTTAGAAAAAAGAGAATGTTTTTTGGCAAGGGAGTTTGAAGTTTTCTTGATATAAAATCGTCAGTTTTTGTTTATTTGTAGTGTATTATATATCAAATGTTTGTCTTGGTGAGTAGAACAAATTTGTCTTAAGTGAGAACTGAGGTTTACTTAGTATAATTTAGAGTAAATAGCAAAAGAAGAGATAAAAAAGTTTTTGTTATAGTTTGATAAGTTTGAGTTTGTTTGTAATAAATTATATATCAGAATGTTCATATGGAAGAGCTGAATAAGTTTTTGTTAAGGAGTGTAAATAGTTGACTTAATGTAATTTTAAGAAGGTGATTTCTATTTGTATCTGACAGGTACGTACCCACCTAGTGATTATGTAACAAAAATTACATACACAATATACAGTATGTATGTACGTATAGTGAACTCACTCTATAACAAATAAACAAAACCTAGATATTCTATACACATAATATTTCAAACTCGGTAAAACTATCACTAATACCAAGTAATCTCGATAATTTTATTTTATTTTTATCTACTTGGATTAGAAATAGAATACAGTGTATATCGATAAAACTGAATCAATAGCATAATGCTTAATCTTAATTCTCTCATTAATAAATGCTAATTTTATCATTCAACATTACTATCGAAACCAACTTTGCGATGCTTATTCGCAAACTTAAATACACTAAAATCATTTGAACTGATACAATAATTCTTTAGAAAGCTTACCAATAATAAACAGATATAAATAATTGCTTGCAGATTTATGATAAATAACTATTAAAAGCCAAATATATAACATGAATTGAATTAGTTGTCAGAAATTATATAATATGCAATATGCCAAAAAAGGTCAGCTACATCATAATATAAAGAATTGCCTGAAAATTTAAAAATTAAAGTGAATGATGCATACAAAACTGCGAACTAATTTACGTATTATAAGCGAATCGTTCACCAATAAACCTACTCAAATAACTCATAAATGAAATTATTTGCGATAATATAATAATAAATTAGTGAAGATAGAAAACTGTAATAGAATTGCTTTTAAAAAAATCATATATAACTTACTCTTAATTAAGACTGTTTAGGTGATACAGAATTACTATTTACTTTTTCAAACCTTATCGTTATATTATTTTTTCTGGAATTTTAGAAGACATATACAGATTATTATACTCATTTTTAATCATTTTTAAAGAAGTTTATAGCTCACCTTAATTAATATATACGTATCCATATTATGCAGTCCCACTATTCACCTTCGAACTAATAGAATTCGAATCTAAAAAATGCTAAAAATACAGTGAGAATATACAAGTTTTATATAGTTTCATTATATAATCAATATAATCTTAATCTTATAACCCAAAAACTTAATATATATGCTTAACAATTAATTCTAGCAACAATTAAATTTTGGCAATAGTTAAATTCTAGCAATGATTAAATTTTAACAACAGTTAAATTTTAGCCTTAAACAATTCAATACTTAATAGATTTCTGCATTACATAATAGCCATTATAATGAAATTAAACTAATTTATATATTTTTTAGAATAGTGCCCTATTTGTTTGCACTTGCTATATTTTTGATTACGTGTAGTATCTTGATTTCTTTCATTAATCATATTATCTTCCCTCTTGAATTGAATTATTTCTACGCTAAATTTATACCTTTTAGGAGGCTTTCCCTTATGCCTTGTAACCAGAGTATTATTTATTTCCACATCTACAGATGTTTCATGTTTGGGTGATTCCATTTTTGATTTAGCATCAGTAATAAAATCGTTTAAAAGCATATTAAGAGTTTTATGCATATTGTTTTTAATTGCTAATTTCATCAGCAAATTTAATGAGATGAAATATTTCGAAATAATTTACGAAACGTAAAAAAAAGCGTAATATTGCGTAAACTATTTCGAATTAATGCGAAATATCAAAATTACGTAAACTTATGTAAGAAAAT